GAAATGTTTACAACAAAGGGTTCGCGGGGTCGCGATAATGCGCGACAGCCTCAGTCATTTGTAGATCCCTCTCTGTAATACCATCGGCCTCGTACTTCTTTTTAGATTTTTAGTTACCATTCCTTTTGCCAAAGTTATTCTCAAGCTGGCGTTGTAAAGGTGGCAATTGTTTGATCGTTGATGAGTAGTTGTCCGCTAAGTCGATCAAGTAACTTTTCAGCGAAAGTGTAGAAAATATCCGTTTAAATATGTCAACTCTGAGTACTTGTTGAAATACAATTGTATATACTCCACGCCACTTTAGCAAATTCCCTAGTCCTTCCAATTCGAGAAGCTTAGTCACTAGTCGCTGTGATGCAGTTGTTAAAAAACGATGTGGTTATGTCCGAGTCTTGGATATCCATTGAACCGCGACCATATAACGTCGGACCGAAGATAGTGCCTGCTGGTAAAGGCCAGGATGGAAGTAGCAGTAGTAATGTCAATCGATTAAAATTTGCGGCAGCTGATTTTTACCGTGATTGCTCGGGTCACAAACCAAGATTTTACGATACTGGAATAACTCCTGATCTGCTGAGTTGAGCTTCACTGAAGAAAATCTCTAAACAGTTGCGTTTTACCGTCCAATACTTTTCCATACGCGGTGTCGTCGCTGCTGTCTACGGCCTTCACTATCCCAACGTACGATGTAGGAATTTGGCTACCGGAAATTCCGTGTTTTCCGCTACATCTTATCCTTACCTTTATGGAGAGGCTTTGACAATGTCTTCTAGGAAACACTGTGCTGCATCGACGTATCCTATGCCCTCTACAGTTCTGTAAGAAGATCTTCTTGCGAGCATATGGTCGATTTCCGTTTGTCTCTCCTCCGCTGTAGATGACCTTCTATTTCTATTTCTCTGCAGAAAATTTTACCGAGTTACGTTCTGCTTTCACAGCGACGGTTCGATCTGGTCGATCCGTTGACAGCTGATGGAGAATTCTTCTTGGACTCCGCCCCTGCTCTGGCTGCTCCATTCCACTCTGTCTTTCCCGTTGTTGTATAGTCTACAACTACTATTTCTTTCTCATAACTGTAGCCAGATCTAGAGCTTGTCTCCCACTTCGTTTCTGACTCCAACACAGAAAATTCTTTTCTCAACCCTCGCGTTCATTGGCAACGTGACCAATAAAACCATCTGCTATGGTCAGATACTTGCGTCCCAAAGCAACCTAATGGCGTGTTTAATGCCATTTTGGAACTCATCCTTCTCATAATCTCAGCAAGCAGATTCGAACACAAATGCTCGTTTTTGCCCCTATTTACGGCAATGATTCGATCTTGTAAATCCTGATGACATATAGTCCTCCAGAGCCTTCACAACAGCTAGAGGCACTCAAACCCGCTGCATGTCCTTCCTGTTTCAGTAGAGTTTTCAAATCCAAATTTTCTTCCTATGGCCTCTGTCCTCCACGATTACTAAATCAAGGGCAAAGATGTTCCGGCTCTACTACATCAGTAACTCTTATAGGCATTTTCTATCGTTAAAAACCCTGATCCAATTCAGCTTCTTCGACTGAGGTCTATCGCCCCTTGCTAGCTCTCGTATACTGACCACTTAAAAAACTCAACTGAGGATTCCTCACACCACCACGACTGATTCACTTTGCGAATTCAATTATTTCTATTGCGAGTAGGATTCTTAATTAGCTCGGCTGTTATCCCAAATCTGACCTTTCTACGCCACCAAATTCGCATCTCTTTGGCCCTGTTTTTGCCTCAGTGGGAAATGAACTCATGGCTCGTGAGAGTCCAAAACCTGCAGTCTCAATCACTTTCAGCAGCCAACACAGTTCCATTAATTTTTTCCCCAAAAATAATTCAAAATAAATAAATAAATGAAATAATAAAAAAATCAATAATAATCAACAATATAATATTAATAATTAATAGATAAATCAAAGTACACATATATATTTGATTCTTAATTTGGGTGATCTATAATAGTATGTATCGAAGGTAACCTATCTCATGTTCTTGACTACAGATACGCGACGCAGATGCGTGCGCTGCCACGCCCCCTACCGGCTGCCTACTGATGGAAGAAAAAGGGTTGACTTTTGTATACATCACACAAAACCGCCAGTCTACTCTTCAGGTAGCGCTTGAAATTTTACCAGCAACTTTAATTCCTTAATTATTTTTGGAATTTTCCTTTGACTACTCAAGTGAACTTTGCAAAATAAACACAGAGAATTGGTCAAGGCTTCAAGCAAAAAAAAATGTTGGAATGACTACCTATTAAATTCAAATTCGAATAAAATCAATAAAAAATAGAATGATCCTAGCGAAGTAATTTCTTCTAAAATCTTCATGACATATACTCATTCAAAAACCACTGCTTTCTATCAAAGAGAGAGGGCTTCACAAAGAGTCTACCGTACGTAGATGGGTTGCGATATCTACAGTCCTAGCGGAAATCGGCCTGTTTAGGTTTGTATCCGAAGATTGATCAGCACAGATTTTAGCTGTTACAATATTAATTAGGGATCTTCTACAGTCCAAGATTGCAGGGCTGCAGCTGATCTCCCAACACGAATAGAATCTATGTTGTACAACACCTGCTTAGGCAAACAAGACCAGTCCCAATAAGTTCGACTTCCTCCTTGGCCTAAACACTCAAGGATAACAGGGAATGACTGGGACACTATGTTCTTTACGTCTGCCCTTTTCTTCGGGTTTTCAACCAGGAGATTTAAATATTATTTTGTAATTTTAGGTTGGAGATGAAGGCAGTTACCTTTGTATCTCTAGCAGCCGCCACCCCTCTGACCTGAAACCATAAAATGTTATATTAACATGAACACTTTTGTTGGCCCAACCCTCCGAAAGTCGCTTATCAAGATAACCCTTTAACACCGCTGATTTGGTGAACCTGAAACCTTTGCTGACCTGACCCAAGTTATCCGAACAATACCTATGGTGCGCATAAACATCAGGTTTTGCAACCTTGGAACTAGAAAGTTCATCGAAAAAATAACGCTTAAACTCTTAATATTTTGAAAAAAAAAACAAAGAAAAATCGTTTCGCTAGCCAACTCTAGAAGTACCCAAATTGTTCGCTACACTTTAACCCATTTCACGTTGATCATACGTTGGTTAGCCGTCACCGGCAGGTAATACTGCTTGTATTTCAGACCTAAGGATTCATCCGTGTTGCGGCCGGGCCCAAGGAGTAGCGGGATGCCAACATTCCGAAAGCCATGTGACCGATACTATTCGCGAGTCCGTTCTACTTGAATTCCAAGCCACCCCAGAGCCGACTGGTCCAGGAGATCCACGATCCGACGCCGTAAGTTGATTTAACCATGAGTTCTTGGACCTTCTCACATTGGAACTTCCTTATTCCAGTTTTACGCCCTCGATTGCGAGTTTGTCTACACTACGGTTGGAAAAGAAGCAGCTCGGATTACAGTTGTGGACAGTTATGGTAACGAAGTTATGGATTGTGTATTCCGACCCGAACATGAACTTGTCGACCCGAATACAAGATATTCGGGCTTGACTGGCGAAGAGATTGCACATACCGACAAAAAGCTCGGTGATGTGAGTGTTTTTTTACTTCGGTATAAAAAACTACATCTGATACTTCTTGACTTTACTTTTTAGTACTTTTTTACCGATATTATTATATAACAAAGCGCTATAGCTTGTCCCAGGGACACTTGTGCTACTTGTACCGCTTTCCGGGGAAGGTACGCTACCTCCTCCGAAGTTACACTCAGTCCTCTTTCTCAAACAATTGCGTGGAACCGCAGGTAGCTGCGTACCTGTGTGTGGTCATTCATTCTTGTACAAATCGCCACACTTTCTTAGAATACCAAGTGCCCTTCCATCGTCGTAAACGTGCTCGAAAACAAGACTTACCGCAGAGAGCACGAATGTTTGATGCTCGCAAACAGTGAGTCACGAACAACAAAAAGACACAGCAACAATAAACAAAACAACCAAACAACATACAAGCAATGTACAACACCGACAAAAATCTTTATTCAGTGGAATAAAATTCGCTTACCTTCTCTCCTGCGTCTTCGAAGGTCCACTTCATAGATCCGAGCATCCGCCATTATTCGTTTGAGCTTTCTTCGATCGCCTCTTCTCCTTGAAATATGTACTCCATGATCGTCAGCGTTTATGCCCAATTTCCATTCCTAAAATTACACCTGGTTGAAGGAACTGGCAAAAAAGAAGACATAAAAATTAATTGATTATGAAGTACTTGAGATTCGATAGGCCATGGTTCTGGAACAACCTTGAGCGGTCACATCGACTGGTTTAGAAAAGCATCAGGCTGTTAAGATACCCATATCGTTCCTGAAAAGGAAAGGTATGAGAATAGCGAATGATAAAAGGTTTTCAAAATGACTAAAAAAGGAATTCTCAAAAGATGGACACCGGACACCAAACGGAAGGATTTGACAATGTGCGGTGCACCGATCAATGGGATCCGATACCAGGGGTAGGTGGATTGGTTGGTCAACTGAATCGGAAGGATCAAATCGAAACCACCTCGACGACGGAATAGGCCTTCCAGAAAGGTTAAGTACCGAGGGCTCATCACTCCTGTAGTTAGAATGCGCCAGAAATGCCTATTTAGTAGAGTATCATACTATCGTCGGGAGGTATTTGGTGTCGTACAGTAACTTTGGGAGGAACAGTCAGACGATCACTCGATAATCAAAGGATAGGATGCCCGACGCAAGGCTGATTAGTAACGATTCTTTTTGGAGAAGCGACTTTCTTGTTTTATTGGAGGAATTATATTCATAATCATTCATGTACCATGAACACACACTTATGATTGGTTTACTTTACTAGTTACTAGTTATCGAAGTTAAGTTATCGAACTCGAACCAATTGTTTCTTCATATTACTTTAGAAATAAGATTGATTGATGGGTCTTCATGAGAGAGAAATAGAGAGAATATAGGGACTGGGAGTGCTCTTCACAATAATTAACTGAGTAAGTAGGCAGTAGTTCGGAAGGCAGCCTAGTCCGTATCTGACACTACGATTCTTCTCCCTTTCCTACGAAACTTTTAGGTTCCCACCTCATTGAAAATAAAACTGACACCACCACCAACTCCTACTTCTGTTAAATCATTCTGTTTAGATTCGAGAAATGCTCTTTAAAATGGTCAACTCGGAAACGTTGCTGATAGGACATGCACTTGAAAATGATTTGAAAGCTCTACGTATTGTTCACGATAATGTGATAGACACTTCAGTCTTATTTTCGTAAGTTTTTGACTTAATTATTTATTTATTTGATGCAGAAGAAAGACTCAGACTCAGACTGACAGGCAGTCTAAGTAGCAGGGCCATGATAAAGTGAAACGAAGTCAGATAAGTAACAGGAACAGAGATGAGATTGAAAGGTTGGCGTAGAATAGGAATGAACCATTTTTTAAAATCTCCATAACTGGCCTCTCTTTCGGAATTCTAACAGGGATCTTTGAATGTGTGCACATATCCCACAAAACGAGCGGGTGGATTGGAGACAGTCGTCATTTGGGGAAATCGGCCCCTACTGTGGGATGATGGGCCAACTCAAGGGTTATCCTCCAACTTTAGGGCTACTTAACTCTTTTTCTTAAGAGCAAAGAATAGTTACTCTGTTGCAGAACTTCGTCCGTAATAACGAATTAACCCTTTCTTCCCAAACACACAAGGCATCACGTCCCTTAAGTTACATCTTCGATGTCATTTGTCTCTTTTAACATATTTCCGATGAATAACTCTGGCGAGAGTTGGATGTCAAGAAGGCATGCCAGTTGTTGGACTTACGAGCTACCAAGCCACTTCACTTTTTTTGTTGTTGGAGTAACAGGGCTCTGCCCACCTTGAGGAAGGTCCGAAACATGCATTGGAGCCGAACACCCCTTTAGTGGACCAGACCAGTGATATTACTGACGAACTTCTTACAGGAATTAAACGAATTGATTTCAGTCGCTCCACTGCTGAAGGACGATGTTTTAAGCAAAGTCTGAAGTCGCTAGCAAGGGAGCAACTCGACATGGATATCCAATCAGAAGGCGAGTTTAGCGAGGAGTTTTCTGCACTGTAGGAGAAATAGGAGGTAGAACTCGAACTTTCGTCGTTTTAGTTCCCGCCCACTTGCTAGGGGTCCCATGCTCCCAGTAGGAGATAGTTCGTGAGGTGACATGGAGGAAATGAGTTCCAACCCGACACATCTTTCTGTGGGTGGGCACTTGATAAGGGAGTCGGAGTCGTCTTCCTCGACCCAAAAGAACCACTTCTATGGAACATCGATACCAAAATTTACAGATGATCATTCAGGTAGCGATATACATTTAGCCCGAGCTGCTATTTACTTTGCGTTCGTATATATTGGGGAACCGGGACTTGCCAGTTGCCTTTACCCCTCCAGTAGTCCTCCACCTTGTTAACCGATTATGATTTTTCTCTGAATAACTACTCGATTTCAGCTGGTGGTCATGATAGCGCCGAGGACGCATGGGCTGCNCAGTAGGAAATAGTTCGTGAGGTGACATGGAAGAAATGAGTTCCAGCCCGACACGCCTTTCTGTGGGTGGGCACTTGGTAATGGAGTCGGAGCCTTCTACCTCGACCCAAAAAGAACCGTTTCTTTGAAAGATCGATACCAAAATTAACAGGTGATCATTCAGGAAGCAATATACCATTTAGCCTGAGCTGCTATTTACTTTGCGGTCTATGAATTGGGAACCAGGACTTGTCATCTACCTTTACTCCTCCATTAGTCCTCCACCTTGTTAACCGATCATGATTTTTTTCTCGAATAACTGCTCGATTTCAGCTGGTGGTCATGATAGCGCCGAGGACGCATGGGCTGCTATGCGTTTGGTGCTGAGATTAGCTCGTTCACCTCATTTGAATCCTATTTGAAAGGGTTTTCATTCTCTAAGAAGAACTAGCCAAATCCCGCCCTTATCGATCGCACACGCGTAATCGTGCTAGGCGATCGATAGTTATTCGTATGTGGGACTACTTCTCAATGGACTATGAAAATAGCCTTATTCTACAGGTTGATGGAGCACACTTTTCGTATTAGATTTTTTTTGTACATAGATAAATGTTTATTGTCTATGTATGTAATTGTTGTAAATATTATTTTTTGTTAAGTATTTCGTAAACAGTTCGTGTTCTCTTTGAAGTTTTTCGTTTTTCCCAGTTTTTTTCTGCACCAGGCATTATAAATATTAAAATAGCGTTTTACTTGTCATCAAATATTCAAAAAATAACAACAGACAGAGACGTTCTGTCAGTATGAGAATCGTTGCGCCGCGCTCAGGAAGTGGTAATAGGTTACGGGTTACTTAAAGTTGAGTTGTTCTGTAAAGTGACCGAGTTTTCAGAGTTTCTACAGAATTTTTCTACATTCTTCTATATTTTTGCAATAATCTACCGCATACACATCTATGGAGTGATTAAGTGGCAGATCGAAGACGATTGACACGATTCCGAAAATCAACGAAGTGATAAGCCGTTCCTTATCGACTTTTACAGGCTCGGAGAACATTGAACGGGTTCGCGTGAATTTCAGTGGAAGCGATCAACGATTGTATTGCAAATATTAGGCTGGTCAGTGAGCTTGCAGGACCAAAAGAGGACGAGCCCAGCTTGTCATTCTGAAAATGGCCTTGTTCTGAAAAGCACCCCAGGCTTACCTTCGAGGTGAGGGATGACGTCTTTAAGCGTTGATCAGCCCCGTTTTTGAGATGTTCCCTTGCATTAGACTCCTATTCAGAACTACAACGGTGCTCGGATGCGTGTTGGCTCATAACTTTTGGCGGCTAACTGAGGTACAGTTTGGTCCCCATTTCCCCGAAGATGAGTCTGGCACCGTTCAACAGGTTTCGGAGAAACGGAGACTGGACTTGCTTCGGATCTGATTCTCGGAGGAGAGGCATGACAACGCGCCAATCGGCACTACCCTAATTCTGGCTCGTCTTCGAAAAAAAGGCTGAATAACTTTTTTGTTGGGTAAACTTACATTTGAGGGGGGCCTGGGAAAAGGCATATACAGTAGCGCTCAAAAGTATTCGGCCAGCTCTAAGTTGCCGTAACATTTTTCTCAGTGGAGCAAATGACATGAAATTTTGGTATACTTAGCTGAAGCATATTTTACACTGTCCAACACTACTTGACTGCAAAATAGCCATATCCACCTACTAATGGGGGGGGGGGGGGGGCGTTTGTAGACTGCTGAAGCAAGTTTGTGACGTATGCAGTTACTCCGACCTTAGGTACGTTTTTCTTCTCTTCTGGGTTCGGCATTAGTGCTCGTACACTTAAGGCATGGCAAAAAGAAAAGGACTCCTGAAAGGACAACCATTCATATTTTCAGCTAATTTTTTGTTCAAGCCCTTTAGGATATCTGGAACATGATCAGATTGCAGGTCAATAGTTGTAAATTCACACTACACCAGTGCTACACATATTGAAATTTCGCTTGATTAGATAGTCACTACTGAAATTACGACTGAAGAAGCATTTGACCGAATACTTTTGAACGCTACTGTATGATATATACAGATACCACAACATACTCTTCGACACTTGCCCCTTAACCTGGTCAATGTAATAGACCTCTTATTTAGCAGTTATTATTCGATGTTTGGAGAAGATATTGCTCGAAAGTGGAAAAATAGTAAGTCCCCGTTCTGCTGATGATTGATTCTGGGTAATTTTCAGATACCAGAGCTCATCCGACCGCTAACATAATAGCGAAAGAAATATCAGATTATTATGTCCACTTGGAAAGCAATTAAGTGACAATTGAGAAAAAAGGCAAAAAACCACCATTCAGGAGTAATTCGCAAGACGATGCTGCCACCGGAGGTTTAAACTTGAGCGGCACTAACCACAGAGGGGATAGTTTGGAGAATTTTACTCATTTCTGATTTTCCCAGGCTCTATCATCTGAAAAACATCCTATTCAACCTAGTCGGGCCTATGTGAATTGTCTTTCTCCAAACATCCTTTCCCGAGTATACGTAGCTTTTCATCAATCCACCTGAACTACCCGATGTAGGAAGGAAATGGTCTTATCGGTGTCACTGGTGATTTTTCGGGATGGTGTGACTGGACGTCGTCAGTCGTTAGAGTGTTCCCCCTTATTTAAGTTGTTTCTGATAACACACTCACGCAGTGCATATCAAACGTTCACTGCTTTTCCGTACAGGTCGCCACCTTTGCTGTAGCATCCGCTTATGTGCAGATTGCACGATTTTTTTACTTCTCACTTCAAACTATCTTTGCATTGTTAAAAGGTGTGAACCCTATCTCAGTCGAGTGAATGCAAATGAAGCGGGCGGTTGCGTAGCGTGAGCTCGCAGGTAAACCTCCAGATATTGACATCACCGTTTCTGCAGCACAATTTGAAATTGTTCTCTTTCTTCGAAAATGACGACTGAAGAGTGGCTAATTTCTTTGTCAGAATAGCAGACGACAACTGATTAAAAGGGTAAAAGACCCCTCTCTAGCGATGCTTCCACGCTAGTAGCTCCCCACCTAAGATTCCCATCAAAACTTTCCACCTTACTCCTAGGGCTCACTGTTATTTAGTCTTTTCGAATTATTTATTTAGTCAGCTCAAATTACATTATGGAAAAGCTCACTCGGACGGGAGTTTAATCAGTCAAAGCGCTCCAAAAGCCCACCGGAAACTTGTGCCGTTTTTGATAAGATGAAATGCTAAAATATAACTGCCATCACTGTAGATGACTACTTGCCAGCATGACAGCAATTACTGTATCCTCTTTTCAAAAAAGAGAGTTTCATTTTCCTTGAGAAAAACTGAAATAGTTCGACGTCACTTTTGTACTTTTCTTCTTTCCGATTTTTTTCGGCGAAGAAACAAATAGGTAGCCGAAAGATTCTAATAAAGGAAAATTGGCTTAGCGCATCTACAATATGATTTTCTTCCTATTGAACATCACCCTCTTACCACTAATCAAAAGTATTTTGATTGATTTACTGAGTCAATATGTAAACAATTAAAATAAGTAGCCAAAAATACCGAAAATAAATATTGCTTATGTTTAGGAAATTGTCATGGAAATGGGCAGAACTTTCCATTTATTTGATAGAAAAGGATAAACTTTCAGGCGTTAGGCAACCCCGTTGTGGTAAAACCCCGAAAGGCAACCCCGAAAAAAAGTTCTGGTTGGCTGTATGAGTATCCGGGATTCGATCATAGGACATCACGCGTGTTAGTGCTTACTTGACACTCCACTCTTGATGCTTATTTCTTTAGATTTGTCCAAAACCAAAAGTTCTAACTTTTCAATTCTGTCAAAATTCCCGAAAGAATTATTACTTAGGTCGCGCTAGGTGCCTACTCCTCATGCCTTTGTCTGATCGAGATGAGCTCTAACATAAATGGTCTCAAATGGTACGACTAATTGTTTTCTTTCAGACATGAGCTTGGAAATCCTGTTTGGCGAGTTCAACTATGAACGAGCTAAGGAATATTGTATTTCATTGGAGAGTTTCTCATTAAAACTGGCTATTGCCTATATTATTACGATATTCTCGATAAAATACTATATGAAGGATCGAAAAGCTTACGATCTACAATTGCCATTGAATATTTGGAATGGTATTCTGGCAGTGTTCTCAGCTCTTGGTTTCCTTTACACATTCCCGACGTTTCTCAATGTTATCTATAATAAGGGCATTTCATGTGGGTAATTTCAGTTCTCGGGCTTATTTCATAGGGAAGCGCACTGATCAATATATCGTTTTTAGACACATATACACATATTTCTGAAGTCTACACTGACAAGACGTCGGGATATTGGGTTCTTTTATGGGTATTGTCGAAAATTCCCGAACTTGTCGACACCATTTTCATTGTACTGCGGAAACGACCACTGATGTTCATGCATTGGTATGTCTTATCAATTTGAGGACTTATCATTTTCCAAAAAACCGCGGAAGCGTTTGAAAAACGTTGCCATCGTCATGCGATATAGCAGCACTATTCTGCACAATGCTATTTGTAGCAGTGAGCCGAAATTACGTTGTGAGCCTTTCAAGAAATCACACGAGAAAGATTGAGCACATCACCTGTTTGATTACCGCTATCCGTGTCCTTACTACACAAGTTAAGCTTCCTGGCCTCATCAACACCAG